GGAAATTTGGCAAAATGACATTGCTCGCATTCATAAGGTAAACAATTAAAATGTTCTGATGCTAAGTGTGCTTCGAGTTCGGAAAGATTTGAAAATTGATTCTGAAATGTTTAGATTAGAAAGGTACAGCCCAAGTAGGCGCGCGGCAATAACGGCGCAAAGCCATAACTTGCTTCAACATTCACGAATCTTATAAAATTTAGTATTAAACAATTCCTCTCATCGAACTAAAGAGATTGGTACCAAAATTTATAAAGGCCAGAAATTTTCCAGCAGGTTATGGTTTTGCGCCTACTTGGCCGCGCGCCACAGAAAATTAGGAAGACACAAAATGCCCAAATTGCGAAAAGATCAAAATACAAAATGTTCATTTGCAAAACTGACAAAAATTAAAAAAAAACTCTCAAAGCAAATTGCTAAAAGGGCATTTGCTTTACAAAATTATTTATAAAGCAAGTGACCAATTTATATTTATCTACTACCTGTTTTTGTGGACTAGCATCACTACCGTTTGTATTACCCCCACTAATTGTTGCTTCAATTCTACTTTCCTGTTGACAAAGTTGGCAATCAAACATTAATTAATATTATCTAGAAAAGTCTAAAAAAAATTTTAGAAAAAAATTTTAAAATAAAATTTTTGAAAAATTGACATTTCGGGAAAAGTTGACATTATGACATTTAGCGGAAATGGATAATTTAAATATTTGTGGGAAGTAATCAAAAAATAAAAATATTAAGAAATTATTAAATTTAGTGGAGAATTTTAAAAGAAAAAATTATGGAAGTCATCATTGAAATTTAACCAGACGCCTATACATAAAGAAAAATCGCGGAAAATCAATAAAAAGTAAAAATAGGAAAGCTTGTTATGAGCTTAATTAAAAAATTATTTTTAAAATGAGAGAATTTAACAGGCTAGGATTTTTAAAAAATTTTCAAAATTTTTAAAATGCCGATTTTAGTGACTATCGATAGCATTTATCGGTATTCCGTATCGTAGTCGGTATGGAAACAAAAAAATTTTTCTGTACCGTAAAATGGAGTACTGCCCAAGTAGGCGCGGGGCCATAATGGCGCAAAGCCATAACATGCTTCGAAATTTTCGAATCTTATCAAATTTAGTATTAAACAATTCCTCTCATCGAGCTAAAGAGATTGGACCAGAGTTGATAAGGGCCCGAAATTTTCCAGCAAGTTACGGCTTTGTGCCGTTATAGCCGCGCGCCTACTTGGGCGAGTCCCCGTAAAATTATATCGATAAAAATATTTCGATATTTTTCGTTATATTACAGTTGGTGTATTACGATCATTAGGGTCATTAGGCGATTTTTCTCAGAATGTTGTCAAAAAGAATTTCAAAAATCCAAAAATTTCTCGACTAAATAACCTTTCCAAAAAATATGTAAAATGAGAGAAAAAAATTTAGCAAAAAAAAATTAAAAGATAAAAATTTGAGAAAAATGTATTTATTTATTATTTAAAAAGTAATAGAGAAAATAAATAAATATAAATTGTTTAAAAATGAAAAAAAATTTTTTTTTATTTTTGTTGTCGATTTTATCAAGCAATTTTATATACCGTATTTTTTGTATTAGAGCCCCATGGGGCTCTATTTTTCAACTATCCTTCAAAGTGGGGCTTTATTACAGCGTGGGGCTCTAATAGAGCGTGGGGCTCTATTTTTCAACCAATTTTTGAAAATATATAAGGGAATTTTCAATTATAATTAAGGCTGTAATATGTATATAGGCAACTGCCTATTTTTTACTCAAATGGTGAAATTTGTCACAAAAATAAATTTCACCATTGTGATATTTCTAAAGTTAATAGTTAGCGTGTACAGTTTGGCACGATTAAGTGGATTTGAGGTGGATTTAAAGCCGAATTTTATTTTGTGGTGGTTCGAATCCTATCGAGCCTTTCGATTACTATATGTATTCTGCTTCAGTCTGCACGGTCACTCCGTGTATATATCTCGGTTTAGTCCCAATTGAAGAATATAGATGTGATTAAGAAGGTATTTGGGGATTAATAAGGATATCGAGTGATTTTGAGAGTATAAATGATTTGGGGATTAATCGGATAGCGGAGGATTTCTGAGATGAATCTGCTGATAACTAGGCTGATCTCGCCAATATTTATGCTTGCCAGTATATAAAAGAATCTCTGATATCTCCTATAACATCCAAATTCCTCTATTGTAGAGGATTTGGAGCAGCTTAAGGTGTTATTTATCCCCAAATATCCTCTTAATCACATATAATATCTAGCATTGGCACAGAACATTAGATAAAAGGAAAAAACAGTATAGTATTAAAAATTAATAATTTATTATACAATAGGTAAATTTTAGAAAATAGGGCTCTATTTCAGCGTGGGGCTCTAATACAGCGTGGGGCTCTATTTTTCAACTATCCTTCAAAGTGGGGCTTTATTACAGCGTGGGGCTCTAATTCAACGTGGGGCTCTAATACAAAAAATACGGTATGTAGTAGGTCACGGTGTTTCTCTCCCTCCCCCCATCGTCAGTCAAAAATTTATGGAAGGATTTGTGTATTTCACATTTTTTGACGACGGTTTGGTTGCCTCTAAAATATTTTTTTTCCTTCTTTCACAACCCTTGAGAAAACCGAGGGGGGAGGAAATTGTGAAAATTCTTTTCTCTCTTTTTCTCTCTCTCCCTTCTCTAACCTAAAAATAAGAGAAGAGAGAGAAGGCTATCTTTCCTTCTTTTTTACTTCCCAAAAGAAAAATGTCCAAAGTACAAAATGGTCAGAAAGTTAAAAATTGGTAGATGTTAGGAAAAATTTTTTTTGGAAATAAAGAGGTTTGGACGGAATACTAAAAAATCAATGAAATATTGAAAAAGTCAAAAAAGGGTAGAAAAATTAAAAAAAATTATTAAAAGTAATTTATTATGTATTTAGGATTCGAGTTGAGAATTACTAAGAATTAGAAATTGAGACAAACCCCGGTAAATCCAGATTTTTCTCAATATATGAACAGTTACAAATGGCAGAAAAATACACAGATTTCTAATATAAGAAATTCTACCAGCTACATAATTTCACAAGGGTAAATTTGTTTTTTTAAACAAAACAGGCAAAATGTCGAGTGCCGAAATGTAAAAAAATTTTCCTATTGCGATTAAAGTTTTTTAGACTTTCACAATTTTGTCTCGCCAATTTTTTAAGGGAAATAAAATTTTGAAATTTTTTAACCATTTTTAAATTGACCATTATATAATTAAATTTTCTTTCTCTATTTATTAAAGAGAAAACCTAAAAGGCCTTTAGTGGCATTTTAAAATAAAAAAATTTTTTTTCTTCATTGCACTCTAGCAATATACTTTTTCTCTCATTTAGGTGAACAACAACAGCAAAACAGCCCCAACGACCTAGCCAAACACACACACATCTAAAATATATTTTTAGTATTTACTCCTCCATAGTGAAGAAAATGGGGGAGAAAAAAAATTTTTTTTTAATAAAAATATAGAAAATCGGCGGATTGAGAAGAAAATGTAGAGGAGAGGAGAGCCTCTGTGTTTTCTCATCGATTTTCGCGGGCCTGCTCTGAAAAATATTTTTTTCTAAAGTAAAAATTGGGTGACTGAGAATAATAATAAAGGTTTTTTTGTTGAAAAAAATATTTTTTTTTGGTGAAAAATATAAAAATTCTTTTGAAAAAAGAAAGAAAAATTTTTTTCTTAAAGGGAAAGACAACATACAGTCGTCGACATAAAGATAGGGACAAGAGTAATTTAAATGTAAATTAACTATTTTTCAGTCAAAAAATACGTTCTATATATCAATCGAAAGCTCTATTCGTATCTCAGTTGACATGTTTTTGCATTTTTCATGAAAATGAAAATTGGCCGAGATAATCCGGATCTACCGGATATACCAAATCCCATAGCCTCGGAAAAAATTTTCGGAAAAAATTTAACAAACCCAGTTGATAAAGCATATTTTTGTGAGTATTTACCACAAAACCGCTTAGAAATATCTTTTTCCGGTCCAGAGATATGATTTTTTGAAAATGGCATTTTTCGTCTATTTTTGCAAAAAATTGAATTTTTAAGCGAAAAATGCCATTTTCAAAAAATCATATCTCCGTCCCGGAAAAAGATATTTCTAAGCTGTTTTTTGGTAACTACTCACAAAAATATGCTTTATCAAATGGGTTTGTTAGATTTTTTCCGAAAATTTTTTCCGAGGCTATGGGATTTGGTATATCCGGTAGATCCGGATTATCTCGGCCAATTTTCATTTTCATGAAAAATGCAGAAACATGTCAACTGAGATACGAATAGAGCTTTCGATTGATATATAGAACGTATTTTTTGACTGAAAAATAGTTAATTTACATTTAAATTACTCTTGTCCCTATCTTTATGTCGACTACTGTAAATATTTTATAATTAAATTTGAAAAAAGAGTTTTTTTGTGGCATTGAGAAATCATCACAGCTTCTCATTAACCTACATACATGCTTTGATATACACATTTTGGTTTAGTGGGATATATTATAGGGATATTGTTTAAATACGTATTAAAATTTAGGCTAATCTAATTAAGAAAGTTGGGACTTGATCAAAGTTTTACATCCTTGTAGGTGGAAAAAGTAAAGGAGGAGTTTATGGGGTTTTTTTCTCCCAAAAAAATTTCAAGTTTCTTTAGACTCACAATCTCGCCAATTATTTTTTAAGAGGAAGAAAAAATTTTTTTTGACTATTTTTATTTTTTTTTGACCAGTTAAATTTCGATTAAAAACGGTTAAATTTCAATCATGTACACCCTTGTGGATGAAAAAAAGTTTGTAAATTTTAGCTTATTGACCGATCAACCTAGAAAGATAGAGGGTGTATATAAGTTAGAGGGTGTAATTTTGGGTGTATTTATGTACAATCGAGATCCGACTATCTTAGAATTAAAAATTTTTTCTTTTATCAAAAAGGCACAAAAAACAAAAAAACTGGGAAATAAAAAATAATTTTAAGTTTTTCTCGATAAATAAGGTGATTGTGGCTGTAACATAGGCTCCTTTGTTGAATTACTCCTAAAACGATGTTGTTGGGTGTTTTTAGTTTTTTGTTGGTGGGATGAGGAAGTTTCAACGTCTGATTTTGTTGCTTCATCTGTTGCTGAAAATTTTTAAATTATTTTTTGGCATTTTAAAATATTTTTTAAAAATTTTTAAAATCTTGTAGGGGTTCTTTGAAAGAAAATTTAATTTTAAAATTTTCAACAAAAAATCCTCACAATGTTTTCTTCTCCCATCAATATCTTCCCTTTCCTTTTCCCCCTCTTCTTCCTCTTCCCTTTCCAATTCCCTCACTAATTCACTCATATTTTCTGTAATTTCATCCGCAGCTTGTAAAAGGTCATCCTGCATTTGAGCAACTGTTCCAACTCTTTGTGGACTTAGGTTAAAATCTCCCAATCCGAGTTGACCTAAAGATATCCCTCCAGAAGCAGCTGTGGTTGTAGAACGCGCTCTTATTGTTGGGGCAGTGCTGGGTGCTGTACTTGGCTGGACTATGGGGGCCTGAAAATTTTTTTAGTATTTTTTAAAAATATTTTTGGTATCTGATAGTTTGATATTTTTAACCTTTTTAAAAATTTATATGTAAGAAAATTACATTAAGCCCTGCCATCAAACGTTCAAGTTGTTTCATTAATTTTCTCCTAAGTATTTGTTTCTCCTGCATTTTTACCTCCAATTCAGCTGTTTGTTCTCTAAGATTTTCTAATTGCCCAGAACTGTCACAAAATGCCTAAAAAATAAAAAATAAATTTGCTTTAAAATAAATTTCTTCAACTTGTTGTTGTTCGAGTGAATGCATTTCATGGAGCATTTGCTGATTTTCTTCTTCTAAACGGGCAATAATCGCACGTTCGTCTAAGTGTTGTTGCTCATCCGAAGTTGATGCCCCACTAAAATAAGCCCCTGAAGAGGATGGAGGAAGGTGATGGGGAGGTGGACGACGAGAGGAAGCATACTGTAGAATGAGAAAATAATTTTTTGATTATTTAAATAAATTCCTCACCAGGGATGGGACGGGCTACCCGATACCCGAAACCCTGACTTTTTTTCGACCCGAAACCCGACCCGAGAAATTTTCTCAACCCGTCCCATCCCTGTTCCTCACCACAGTCCTCCCAGCTAATTTGGCAGCATATCTGGCAATAAGTTTATGTTCATCATCCATTGCACTTGCTCGCCCATATTGACCAGGCAAAAATTTTGAAGTCCATTCAGCGATAGGTTCAGGTGCTTGGCGTCGGCTTGAAAATATTTATTCCAACAAAATTTATCTCTTCAAATTTACGTGAATCCACTAATAGGCGTACTTGGCACTACATTAGCCAAATCCAAAGCGCGTTGAGGTCTAGGAGGGTAATCTACATGAGTTTTTTGATTTGTAGTTGGAATACATTGTAAAGTACATTTTTGGATTGTATGGGCTAATTGCTTTGTTGGGGATTTCTTTAAAAATAAAATTTATTGGGAAATTAAAAATTAATTTTTTCTAACATAGCTGTTATATTCTTTCATTTCATGCTCATTGCTATGTTCCTGACTGACCCTCCCTCTCCAAAAACAAGACTGACAGAGTTGGTAGTTGATACATCGTTGACATTTGTAACGAAAACCATTGAAAGAACGGACCTTTTTTGAAAAAATTAAAATTAAAAAATTTATTTTAAAAATACCTGGCAAGAATCACAAACAACAGGATGATAAACATTTTCAACAGCAGCCATTCTGTGCAATAAAGGTAACCACATAAGGCAGGGAGGGCAACTCTCCCCAAGTATTGTATCCAAAAACTTTAAAAATAACAAAGAAATTAGAGAAAATAAAACTTTCCGGAAAGTTTATTAGTTTTTGACTCTTTCCGGAAAAATAAAATTACATGGTGGAAAATATTTATTTATAAACAGAAAGGGGAAAAGGATATTAAGTTGTCCGGAAAGAAAATAATAGAATAATTTCCGGAAATAAAATAATAGGATAATTTTCCGGAAAGAGTTATTAGTTTAATTAATGGTTCTCAGGAAGATATTTCCTGAAAATCCATTTTACAGTTAAAGTTTCCGGAAAAAGTAAACGACTGTATCTTGGAAAGAAAATAATAGGATAATTTCCGGAAAGAAATAAAATATTTTCCGGAAAATATTTCCTGAAATTTTATATTATTAAAAATGCTTTTAAAAAAAGCAAAAAATTTGCCTGATTTAAAGAAACGGGTTCAGGTTGACTTTTTTGAAAACATTGAGATAAAGCCAGGGGAGAATAACCAAAAGTTGGACTATAATAAAATTAAAAATTATTTTTAAAATTAAAAACAATTTCTTTTTCACCCCTCAAAAACAGCAGTAGGCAAAGCTAAGACATGCTGTAAATATTCAGCAAATTTAGAATGATCCAAATAAGCACCGCTTTGCTCAGAAATTTGAGAAAATATATCTATATTAATTTTTAAAAATTATTTAAAAAATTAAAATTTAATTTGAAAAAGAATTTTTTTGAAGAAAATACATACACCTCAGTTTGTCAACCAATTTTCCAGCACATAAAGTAGCCAATCCAACTTTAATAGCAAAAACAGTTAATCGACCAAGATGTTGACTAAAATGCTTGAAAAAAGGTTGTAAAAATTATAAGAGAGGAAAAAATAAATAAACTTTTCCGGAAAAGTTCTTTCCGGAAAATTAAAATTTATTAGAGAAACAATTTTATATTAAAGTAGCATAAACCGGAAGAGTAAATATACAAAACTTTCCGGAAAGGAATTATTCTGGGAAATATTTCTGAGTAAATACAGACCGGTCATAGGCACTCAACAAGAAATGCAAAAGTGTAGCAATTGCCCTACAATTATTTTAATTTTTATTTATTAAAAATTAATTTTACCTATCAGTATCTACTTGTTGACTTGCAGGTAAGCGTTTGTTCAAATCTTTAAAAAAATTATTTTTTTATTTTTAATTAAAAATTCCCCTAACTATGAAAAATGCTGGTTAATAAAAGTTCCAGCCTCGAAACTTTTAAATTTCCATTGCTAGCAATTGCATTAAGTCCATTTTCTCTAAAAGATTCAATCATATTCCAAATATCAACAAGATGAACTGAAAAAAATAAAAATTAAAATTCAAAATAAATTAAATTAACCATTTGTTTTTATTTGAATAAATCTTAATTTACAAGCAGTTCGGTATGTGGCAAATCGAATTGAGTCAAAATCTCGAGAACCTTTTGAAGGGAAAAAAGTGTTCTCAAATTTCTAAAAAGAATTTCTGAACATACGCATCTCATCAATCAACTCTCGTAATTCGTCTGCTATACATGGAACGAAAGGAGTAATTAATTGAAGTTGTTGTTGAAGAGGAGGAGGGGCAGAGGAGGAACTTGGAAAGACTTCTAATTGTTGTTGTTGGTGTTGGATACCTTTGAATTAATTTTTTTAATTAAAAGAATTGGTTAGTTGTTGAAGGTAAACTCGATAAATGATAATTAAAATAATTTTGGGATAAATATATTTTTTAAAAATAAATTTAATTGTGATTAAAAAACTACAAAAAACCCCTTTTCTAGCTTATTTCTGATCATAACTTTTTTCAAAATTTGAAATGTTTTATAAGAAATTTTATGCTTTATTGAATGATATTAAATTCATAAATTATGTAGTTTAAAAGACGTAGACCCGTCACATAAGCGTCGTTGATAGCTCTCAGATCTCTCCTACACCAATCATTTATTTCCCCTTTTAATGCCCCTTTATTCAAAATTTTAATTTTAAATTTAATTTCAATTAACCATTCAAATTCTGCCCAACATTATTGTTTAAGACAACAACAGGCGAGGATTGATGTAGCTGCTGATTCGAATAAACTTTTATGTTCCCATCAGCAACAACCGCTCCATTCACCTTAATTGGAGGTGTTGCTGTAGACTCGTTAGTGTTGTTTTGATACATTCAAAACGAGGTAATTAAACATAAAAATATTAAAATTAAATTTTGATAAAAAAATACAAAGCGAAAATTAATGTTTAAAGGGATTATGGTTCAGTTTGGTCTGAAAATTGTTAAAATAAATGGAAATTATCAAGTTTATTTAAATTATAATTCGATAAAGCATTGGAATAAAATAAAAATTTTAGTTAGGGAGGAGGAAAAGCAGTGACAGAAAAACCTTTATAAATGAGTGTTTATCAAATATTAAAGGTCATTTTCTGATCAAAATTTTAATTTAAATTTAATTTAAAATTTTATTTTATAGGAAATTCAATTTTTGGTAAAATTATGCCAAAAATATCTCTAAAGGTTTAGATATTCAAAAGTTATGAAGCTAGAAGTGAGGTTATTGTTAAGGGAGGACAATACTTAACTAAGGAAGGACAATACTTAAAGAAAAATGAATAAAAATGCTCAATTTTCAATTAATTAATTAATTTTTTAAAAAAATTAACAAACAAAAAATGCGTTAATTAAACAAGAAGTAATTGAAATTAAAAAGAAAATAAAAATTAAAAGTTATTTGTACTTTTCTTCCCCAAATTTTTTTCATTTTTGCCATTTTTTATTGTCAGCTGAGTAAAATAAAAGTAAAAGTCATTGGAAAAACAGAAGGAAGGATTGACCAGGAAAGGCTAGGCTTTTTAGTTAAAAATAAGAAAAAAGGTAAAATATATTGGGGAAAGGAAAAAGGGGGGAAAACGCCTTCGGCAGCTTAACAAAAAATAAGGAGTATAACACAGTTGAGTCAAAAATTTATAATTTAATAATTGCTGAACTTTTAAAAATAAATTCGGGATTATTTGATAGAAAATTAAATTAGTTATAAAATAAAATTAAAAAGAAAATTTTAATTAAAGGGAAACAAAAAATATAACCAGAGGAATGTCATTTTTGACCGACTTTTTTGTCCGATCCGATAAAATTTTTATTCATCACTACTATTCTGTAGACTTTCTCGAATGATAAAAAAATAATATTAAATAAAAGTTCCTAATCCTTTCAAAGTCCAAGACTCAAGTAAAGATGCATCAAGGGAGAAGTGCCGTCGGCGGCTTAACTAAAAAAGAAACGCTTGGGTGAATCGCTGAAAAAATATAAAAAATGGGTAAATATGTAAGTAGAAGGTCCGACGTATCCTTACAAGAAAAAATAGCGGGAAAAATAAATATTATTATAAAAAATGAGGCAAAAGATGAGGTAGAATAAAAGCTTATAAATAATGATAAAAAATTGAAGTTAAAATGAAGCATAAATTTATATGTAAATAAGTAGAGGAAAGAAATACTTGAAAATAAACTAAAAAAATTTTAGATAGAATAAGAATGGAATAAAAGTTTAAAGATAAAGTTAAAAATTAGTTAAAATTTAAGAGTTAAAAAATGAAGCAAAAGATTAAACAAAAATGTAAAACAAAAACTGAAGCAAATGATTAAAAAAGACGAAGCAAATTTCCAGCTTACAGAAATCTTTAAAATTTAAATAAAAACAATCCATAAATTACAACAAATAAATGCATGTAAACAATGGGTGAAAAAGCAGTCAAAGCTTTTCCGGAACACGAGGTTATGAAGAGAGATGGTGGGCAATTATTTGCATAAAATATATAACAAGAGTGGAAATATGTAAAATAATTTATTGCTTTATTGTTGGTTATATTTAAATTAGAAAATGAAAAAAAAATTAAAAAAATTTAGGCATAAGAAAAAATTAAATAAAAATTATAGTGAAGCAAAAAAGCTTAAAATCTTAATTTTAAATAAAACTTGAAGCAAGTTTTATTTAAATAAATATATTAATTGTATAAATAAACTTGACATAACTTAATAAACTTGAAGCAAAATAAGTTCTAATAAAATATAAGTTTATTTAATAAATTTGGAAAATAAAATAAAACTTAAGCAAGTTCTTAATAATTTATTTGTATTAATAAACTTGGAATGTAAATAAGTTTAATAAAACTTGAAACAATTTTTATTTTAAATAAATTTGAAGCAAATTAATATTTAAATAATCAAAAATAAATATCGGAAGGTAAACAATAAAAATTTTTTTTTGTTTGGTCTCGACAAGAAAAAAATTCATTTAACCACCACCCATTTTTGTGTGCTTTACGTATTGACTATATATACTATTACTATAATACTTACCATTTGTTGGCAAATAGAGCTTAAGCAAATGAAAAGAAAAAATATTGAAAGGGAAAAAAGAGGGGGGACAGTTGTTGCTAGCATTGCAAAGCCTACGGGGATATTTTTTTTTATCCCAACTAAATTAGTTGGAAGATAAAAGAGAAAAGTGGTGTGAGATTGGGAAAAGTGAGAAAAATTTTTTGAAGGTTTTTAGAATTTTTGAAAATAAAACTGAAGCAAAATATTTTAATTTAATTAGGTGAAGAAATTAAATAAATAAACAATAGAAAATAAACTTGAAGCAATTTTTTTAAAATAAACTTGAGCAAACTTAAATTTTAATAAAACTTGAAGAATGTAAATTTAATAAACTTGAAACTTTTAATAATAAACCTGTAAAATAAACTTGGAAAAAAGTTGATTTAATAAGCAACTTGAAGCAATTTTTTAACAAGCTTAACTAACCCATTTTTGCAAGCATCAAACATGAAGCATAAAAAGTATAATATTACAAATAGTATATAAAAATTCGAAGCTTTTTTCCTCTCTCTTTTAAATTCTCTTTTTACACCCCGTTAAATATTTTTGTGAATAAAAGTGAACATAAATAAAAGCTAAAATTAAATTATTTAAACTAAACACCTTCACAGATGCCGTTTCCCCACACTAACGAGGAGTAAGTACTCAAAAAGGACCGAAACTCTAGACTAGGAACCGGTGCCCAAAAGGCGTCGGGAACAGTTTGTAGCGGAGTGGAAGGTTGTAAACGGTTGGAGTTTGTTGTAAGGTGTTTCTGTTTTTTTTTATTTTATTTTAATTGTTAATAAAAAAATTAAAAAGAATTGAAAAAAATAAGATTAAAAAATATTTAAACAAAATAGAAGCAAGATTGAAACAAAACTGTAAAGAATCGAAGCATGTTTAGCAGTAATTCTGATTTTCTATTTTATTATGCCATCGTGTTTCATAATGGAAAAATGTTCTTTTAGTTATTCTGATTTTTAAAATTATGATTTTTGTATTTTTGTTAAAGAAGAGAAATAATTCTGAAATTTAATTACCTATATTCTGATTTTTAAATTGTCTTTTTGTTATTGTATTTTAATTTCTGATTTTTGTATTACACTAAAAATATTCTGAATTTTTAATTATCCTGTTTTTCTTATTTATTGTAATATCAAAAATATTATTACAAAAAATTCTGATATTTTTTAGAGTGTCTTTGTTCTTTAAAATTTAGCATGATGTTTAAACAATAAATAAATACAAAACTAGTTAAACCTGAAAAATAATTATTTTCAATTTTTTTACATAAAAATATATTCCTTCACTTATTTTTTTTATTAAAAATTAAATTTTCAAAAAGAAAACTTTTTTTAAATGAATTTTCTGGGCAGCGCATTAACAACTATAAAGCCTAGAAAGGATGACACTTTAATTGACCGACTTAATTATTATTATACTTCTATGATTATTATTGGATTATCTGTTACACTTACTGTGAATTTTGGAATTTTTTGGAGCTAAAATAAAAAAAAATTTTTTATAAAAATAAAAAAAATTTTCTAAGGATTTTCAAAAAATTTTTCAAAAATTTTTTATAAATTCAATAAACAAATTCCTAATTCTCTTATATGTATTTTAAAATAAAATAGGCAAAACAATATGTTGGCCAGCCAATCCAGTGTTGGGTTCCAGCAGAATTTTCACATGCATGGGAGCAATATGCAGAGAATTATTGGTAAAAATTTAAAAATATTTATATTCTAAATAATTCTAAAAAAAGTTTTGTTTACAATACTTATTGGGTAAAACCAGATGAACAAATTCCTCGTCCCGTGGATGAAAGGTGAAAAAAATTTTTTTAATAAAATTATTAAAAATATTTAAAGAGTAAATCGGCAACTTTTTTATTACCAATGGGTGCCTTTTTTGATGGCATTGGAGGCCGGATTTTTTTATTTTTCGGTAAATTTTGTTTTAAATACCTACTTGGAATGTCCTACTTTTTAGGTCCTTTTATGGTCCAAAACAAATAGAAAATCGGGAATTAATATAACTGCTATGATTGAACAAAAGGAGAATGTAAAAGAATATGGAACCGGAGTTTAATAAAAAAATTTCTTTTAATTAAAAAAATTATTTTTAACGAGCTCCGAAAGG